TAATATAACATTTAATTTATAAAGTAAATGTTATATTAAATTTTTTTTAACAGGTATGCATTTTTTATGATAATTTTAGACATTTGAAACTATTTTTCCATGTCTTTCTAAAAATCTTTTAAAAGATTATTTATTTAAATTACTTTAAATTATGAATAAGTTAAATTAAAACTTTTCATGATTATATCATGGGAACATTTGCTTCATTATTTTTTGTTTCTATTTTTACAAAGAATCGCTTAAATTTTTTTTTAATTTTAAACACGACTTACTAATTAAATCATGAAATGGTTAAAAGTTATGATTTCAAAAAGATTACGTTATTTTTCTAAACAATTTTTTTTATGCAACTTTTTGAAAAAAAGTGTTTATACTGCTTAAAATTTTTTTTTTCTTTTCATTTATTTAATTTCACTTTTCAATAATTTTAATAAAATTTGTTCATTTATTAAACAATCAAAGGAAGTAAGGGGTCATCCATAAAGGAGATTATGCTAATAATGGGAGGGGGAGGGGGTCAAGATAAAAAGGACAAAAAAGGACATGGGGGAGGGGGATCATCAGAAAAGGATGTCATGTTATAGAAATTTTTTAATTTTAGTTTTAATAACATGAACTATATTAGGCCTAAATTTACCTTTTTAGCCTTATTTATTCACTTATAATTTTTTAATTACTTTATAAAGAGCTTCAAACTGTTAGATGAGCTTGGTGCTGAGATCGAAAAGAGAGGCTACAATATTAACAAAAGTGCTTTATCTACTCGATTGATGCCACACAATTCCAATTAAATTAATGCAATTCCAAAACGATCTTTATTTAAGTCACATGGATAATCCATTTTGTACAGCAACTATAAGGAATGTGGAAGAAGTTTGCCTTTTTTTAGGACCCAAGGATGTGTGCTTTATAAGTCAAGATAATAAAGCTCAAATCCCAATTGGAATCACCACTGCTAACAAACAAGCTCCTATAATAATGCATATAGAATATCAATATACTCTTCCTGATCATGATTGGATCATCACCACAAAGCACAAGCTCATCCTGTCTCTCTACGCAGGCATTGCAATCAAACCAGATAGGCTTGAAAAATCTGACACAGTTTCCTATTTTAATTCCACATATATTGCTGTTTGTTTCTTGAAAACTCATTTGATATCAGTGCTAAAATTTTGCAAGGTAGTCTATTTTATAAAGGTGACCATTTTTACAAAGTATGAAGAAATTCTGAGATGGTGGGTTACAAACCTTAAAAATTTGTCCCACTTTCTCATGGAATACCTCACAAATATATTAAAAAAATAAAAGACTTTACTGAGAAATATCATCAGAAAAAAATATACATATTAAACCAATAAAAATGATTACAAAATGACTCAGTAAAAAACCAATCAATATAATACAATAAAATAAACTGTCATTTAATTTAATAAATAAGTTAATTGTACAATGAAAAGTTTGTTTCAACAATTTTTTCCATATACAATTAACTTTTGTTTCAACAATCTTTCCATTATACCATTAATTTATCTATTTAATTAAATTTATATGATTAACTTATCTATTTAATTAAAGTTTATTACAGTTTATTTTAAGTTGATTATATTGATTGATTATTTACTAAGAGTATTTGGTAATCATTTTATTGAATCGCTTTATGTATATTTTTGACTGGTAATATTTCTCTATAATGTCTTCGATTTTTCAATATTTATACCAGAGTTTAATGTAAAATTAATCTTTTGAAAATTTATTATTGATGAAAATTCATTACGTCATGTCATATGCAGGATTGTGGTCATCTATTAGTTGTGTCGACTGTCTAACGCATTGTAGATTTAAAAGATCAACTGCAAGTCCTCCATCTAGATCATCAATACACCATGTGTTATTTGCAGAAAACTTTTCTTCATATATATCCATACTTCATTGAAAAATTAAAATTTTATCTAAATTTAAACTTTTATTTTAATAAATATTTACATTTGAACTCAAAATTTATTACAAATATAATTTTAAAAAAATGCCTACTCTCAATATTAAATAAATTAGAGAAAATGCCTGTTGATAAAAGGGAATACACAGACTAGTAACCCACCTGATGTTTAATTGATCATGAGTGTTTTTAAAGATGAGCATTGAATATATATATATATATATATATATATATATATATATATATATATATATATATTATATATATATATATATATATATATATATATATATATATGTATATATATAATTATTATTATTATTATTATTATCATTATTATTATTATTATTATTATTGCTATTATTGCTATTATTATTGCTATTATTATTATTATTATTATTACTATTATTATTATTATTATTATAATAAAAATTTAAAAACAATTATTAAAGTTCCATAGTTTGGCAATATTCATAGATATGATGAAGTGACTCAGATATATATATATATATATCAGGCGCGGATCCAGCATTTTTTGATGTTTGAGATAACTAACTTCCA